CCCCCCCCCCCCCCCCCCCCCAGCCCGGTAGAACGATGCTCCGTCCTCTAGAGGACGCGTGGTCAATAGTCTAACCGCCATGCACACAAAACATGAGCACGCCCCCGCCCCGCCCCGCCCCGCCCCGCCCCGCCCGGTCCCCTGCCACACCCGAAGGAAACCCCTCCACCGCCCTCGGAGGGATCAGCCCCCAGCATCAAGCTTGCCCTCGGGAAGTCGATCGGCGGGAAGCCATTGGGTGGCAAGATGCTGGGCAAGAAGAAGGGAGGCTTCGGGTTTGGTCGGAAGGCGGCCGGCAAGAACAAGCCGGGAACCACCAAGAAGCACGCTGTAAGTGGGGGATTTTTTTTGTCGTTCCGGACACGGGAACAGCTTGGTTCTACGTAAACGAGGTTTTGAGGCGATGGGTCGCCGTGCTTTCGACGCTCGCTAAGCGCGTGTGACCGCATATGTTTGTGTCTTTTATTTATATTTTTTGCTCTGCAAACGAATCGATCCTCTGTCTCTTGGATGATTTGTCCTTGATGCCGTTTTTTTGGTGTTGTTTCCTTTATGTTTTCGCTTAGTTTCAGTGTTAGATGGGAGTGATATACCGCCCGTATCGGAGGAGCAATTTCACCAAGATGGCCTCTTCGTGTTCGTTGTTGGAAACGTCGGTTCAGTTGCCCCGTGTACAAGGCGTCCATCCATCCATCGATCAAGCCTTGGGCCCGCTGTATTTGTTTCTCTGACTCACAGTGCTCGTCAATTGTCTCGTATCTTACGCTGTTTTGCCTCCCCCAAGCGATGGTGTCTTTGTTCTTTGGCTCGTGCTTAGGCCCACTGTCTTGTACCGTTTGTTGTTTTGTCCCCCCAAAGGGATGGTGTATTGGTTCTCTTTGTCTTGGTTGTCGATGGTCTCGAACCGTTCGTTGTTTTGTCCCCAACGGATGATATCTTTGTTGTCTGTTTCGTGCATTGTCTGCTACTTCTTTTTTTTTTCCCAATGGATGATATCCTTGTTCTCTCACCCGTGCTTGTCGATGGTCTCGAACCGTTCGTTGTTTTGTCCCCCTCAAGGGGTGATATCTTTGCCGTCTGACTCGTGCCTTTTCAACTGTCTCGTGCCGATTGTTGTTTTGTTTCCCTCAAGGGATGGGCAGACGACGAGCAAGATTCCGAGGAAGATGGAGAGGACGACAAGACCTTCTTCGGCATGGGCAAGGGCAGCGACGACGAGGACGGCGGCAAGAAGGTACATGCATACACAGCTACACCAGCCTTTGGTCAGTTATCGTTGAGTCGTACTACAACGGCAGTAGTAGCTGTCGTTGTCATGGACGTTGTTGTTGCTGTCGTTCTGTTGGCTGAAGAAGACCCGTTTTGACCTCCATCAAGTAGATTACCTCTTCCATGCTTTTCCCGTGTGCCGATGCTAAGGGACGGAGACAAGAACCTATCGCGTAGACGGTTCTACTCTGACTCGTGGCCGATCTACCCCAACACGCCTTTCTCGTTGTTGTCGCCTCAGGGGCTCCAGGGCATCCCACCGTGGGAACAACCCAACCCCTCGTCGCTTACCAGCAATGGCGGGGGCTCCGCGGTTGCTGGTTCGGGTGCTGCGGGTGGGGGCGGGGCAGCCGGCGAAGCAGAGGTGAGTTTGCGGTGCGTCGTGGCCTTCCTTTTCTGGGAGGGGAATAGACATGGATGGATGTCTTTGACGGGGTGTACGTGTGGTGTGTGCCTTTTATGTTGTTTTGTGGTGCACTGCTTGTATGGCTCGGTGGATCATTAATCCGTGTCCGGCAAGGTAGATGTACAGGAGGCATGCTTTTTTTGTTCGCGCAACGGTTACGGTTTCGCACGTGGTCACTGTCATACCGTCGGCGTCGCGGATGCTCTTTGTCTTGCGCACGCCAGTACATGTTGGTTCAACTCTAGGTGTCACTTCCGTCCCCAGAGGGATGGGTGTGCTGCCCAAGGACCTGGTGCGTGTTGCTGAAGCACTAGGAGGTGATTTGGCCGCCCGGCGCCAGGCGTCGCGCTCCACACCACAACTACTGGCCCATGTTTCCGTTGCTCTGCTGCTTGTTCGCCCCCCCCCCCCTCCGATTCAATTCAACCAACCGCGATTGCACCGCGTAAATCGTACCGCAGCCAATCGCCGGTAATGGAACGGCCGGTGGTGCGGGAGGCGAGGACGAAGACGAGGCCGACCCTCTCGACGCCTTCATGACGGGACTCAAGGCCCCTTCGGTGACGCAGGCAAGAAGAGTCAATCGAGTTTTCCTTCCGTTGCCGTGCATGCGTGTTGTTTGATAGCCTTGCTGTGTCCCTTCTGTCGTGTTGGCTGTTGCAAACTGGTATGCTGCACCCTCTGATCGACGGGTGCAAATGCCAAGAGTACGTCGCTCTGCTGTCGGTAATTGGCTGGTACAGTACCTGCTTTGTTTCAATATTGGCGATCCACCACGCCGGTGTGTCGTTACTGTTGAGTGTACATGTATATTTTGTGTCTCGGGCAAGGCGCCGTTTGAAGTCGGTCAGTATTGTCAGTTCCAGACTGTGCTTTGCCTTTACCCCGCGCATCAGCCGCCAAGCCTTTGTCGACACTCCTTGTTGCATGTCCTCGTTTCCGTTTCGGTGTGTCATTCATACCCGGGGGACCCGCAGGACAACATGAGTGCCGCCTTTGGCGCGGGGGACATGACGTCGGCGGCGGCAGCGAACAACCCCGCAAGCGGCGGGGCCCCCGACGTGAGCGGTATCCTGGGGAACACGATATCGCTGGACGAGATCATGCGGGCGACGAAGACCAACGTGAGGCACACGACGGTGGCAGGAGACTCTGTGTTGTTTGGTTATCATGTGTGCGTCAAGTTCTGTGCCCTAGTCCAATGTCTGGCTTGCCGCTTTTAAGGCTTGATTATTGCCACTTTAGACCAAAAGGAGTGCCACTGTATCGCACGAGTGCTCGCAGTTCGTTGTTTGTAGTGGTTTGATGTCCGCGTCCATTGGCGGACCCCCCTCCCCCCCCCCCCCCCCCCCCCCCCCCCCCCCCCCCCCCCCCCCCCCCCCCCCCCCCCCCCCCCCCCCCCCCCCCCCCCCCCCCCCCCCCCCCCNTCGACTCCTTTGTCGGATAGATGTAGAATCGTTTTTTTCCTCCCAAGTACATCGCGCACCAGAACAGCAGGGTGGATGGCTTATGTTGCGGGTCAAAAGCTCTTTGCCGTCTTCTTTTTTTTTTCGATTCATGTGTGTAATTCACGTACCCCTCCAACCCGAGGTGTATGGTCTACTGACTACGGCATGCGTTCACGAGTACCCTCCCCACCCACCCCGTTGTTCCACCTCTCCCTTCCGCATGAACAGGAGACGTGGGAATCAGACGTTATGGAGTCAGAGTCCGACGTTGGAGGGTCGGAGGAGGAGGACTACGGTAAGGCCTTCGACTTGGCGGACGATGATGATGACGACGGCGACAAGGAGGACGAAACCGAACCCAGCGACGGGGAGTACGTGATCCCCATCAGGCCGATACGAAAGGTGATTGGTCCATCAATACAGAGAAAAGCGGCGTGTGCTGCGTCTTACGAGATGTGTTGAGAAACGCGCCTTAAGAGAGAAGTGTTGAGGAGCACGTCTTTTGAGAAGTGCTGAGGAGCGCGTCTCTTGGGAAGTGTTGAGGAACGCGTCCTACGAGACATGTTGAGGGCGTGCATACATACACCTGTTGTCGAATGTACCTGGCCATTGCTTCACCTCGCCACCTGGCAACCTGCTACTATCGCAGATAGGACACATCCTTTTCTCAATAAGCCTGGCTAAATCAACAACAACAACAACAACAAACTGGCTACTAGCTTGAAGTCGCTACGTGGCCTCCTGTCGCCACTACCACCGCCCATAGGACATGTCCCTTGCTCTTGAAACACGTGGCTAACAACTTAACCTCCCGACATGACCGCCTGTCACCACTACCGCCGCCCATAGGATGCATCCTCCTCTATTAAAACCTGGATATTCCTGAAGTTCGCTACATGGTCTCCTATCAACACAACCCACCACCCATAGGAAACCCTTTTTCTAATAAATGCCTGGTATTCCTTCAGGCCTCCTATCACCATCTCCACTGCCCATAGGACGTTCACCTCTTGACCTTCTATCACTCTGGCCATTACTAACACCAACATCGCCGCCGCCGCTGCCGCCGCCGCTGCCACCCTCAGGTGAAGCGAAAAAACGGCCGCAAGTACTACCCTCCCTCGGAGTTCGTGCCGGCAGACGTTGGTCCCGACGGAAAGGTGGTCGTCCCGGCGAAGGCGGAGTCGTCGTTCAAAGAGACTGCGGAGGAGCGAAGGAAGAGGGAGGCGGAGGAGGAGAGGGAGGAGTTGGAGCGGAAGGTGAAGATAAAGCCTTGTGGAGAAGCATTAAAGCATGCTCCTGCAGTTGTATGCGTGTTAGTCGGTTCTGAAGCTTCGGTGTCATGGACGGGAATTATCATGTTGTACTAGTATTGATAGTGGTTCCATGTTGCTCCTTGAGACCGTGTCGGCAACATGAGGCAAAACACAACCAACCATCGCGGTGTGTCCCGTGTTTGGGTGGCCGGTCGCGGGTGGCGCACGCTGTGGCTCTTTCGTGAACGAGATCAGTTTGGCCTAAGCTATCTGGCTTGTAGACTTTTACATGCCCGAACAGGTGTCGTTGGGGGTTTTGCTGTCAACTGCCCAAGAACCTGCTTTTTTTTTCGCCCTCAAGGGTTACATGTGAATCGTACCCCTGGCCAAGCTCTTGCTCACGGCGTCACTCGCCCGTTCCCTGGCGGAGAGCGCGTTGTGTTCTTTGTGTGAATGTCCCCGTATTTTGCTTCTGTGCGTGTAACGCGCACGTTTTTCTTCATGCCCTTCGTTCTTGCTATTTTGCAGGAGTCCATGGACAATTTGCGTTGTACCGACTTCATCCTCATGGTGTGTGTTTGCTGTGTTGTTGCGGTTGCAGGAGTTTATGGAGAACTTCCGCAAGGCTCGGGAGGAAGAGGAGGCTAACAGGGCCGTCAAAGCGGCTAAGAAGCAGCAGGAACACGAGGTGGCGGAGGAGGTGAGTCGTCAGTGGTCAGAACATTGGTCGCTACAGCTGTCGCTGCCAGGTACAATGCAGTTCATGCCCACACTCAAGAACGTCTTGTTCCGTCTCTTATTTTGTCGGTGGGGTACCCCTACGGCGATCATATAGGTTTTAGTGTAGACTTGTTGACTATATAGGTTTTAGTGAAGGCTCATTGACTGAGCATCTTTTCTGATAGCCAAGTTCTTGAATTTGTCTTCTGTTGAGCCTGATTTTCCTACCTTCCAAGTTTTGAAGTGCGGGCCGCTTCTGTAGTAGACTGCGCTGATTTTGGCGTCGTCGCTCGTTCTACTGATATGCGTCGGCATGCACGGCTCCTTCCTTGGGCCTATGGATTACCGTTTTTCCGTTCACCTCTGGTTGCCGCTAGTTTCTCCCTAGTAATAATTTTTCACATACATGACGCGGGTCATATCGGGCTCTTGTCGTCGTGGTTTTTCTACACGCGCTGCCCGGAGCTGCCTGCAATTATACAGGAGCAGTCAGGCAACAAATTACCGTCTCAGGCATTCGTCCGATAGGATATCCCTCTCAGGCAGCTAGCTCGTCAGGAATGCCTGACTGGCCGAGGCTTGTAAGGCATCGACAGTAGAGCGAGCACGTCGTTACACAGTCGAGTCAGAAGTCGTTGTTCTACCACGAACTTGAGTCGTTCCGGTAGTTTAATGAAAACGCTATAATAGATACTGCTGCTCATTGTTGAGTATTTAGGGCGGGCTTCCAACAACAAGTGCAAGTTGTTTTTTCAGCAATCTAGATGAGCGCTCGCAGCCCGTAGTTGCTTCCGGGCGAGAGCTCCAATCCGTGGTCACACAGAATAAGGTGTCCTCTCCCTGACCCCCCTACCCCCCCAACCAACCCTGCTGCGGCTAGTCATGGAAAAATCATTTCAATTTACGATTTGTGACCCGATCGTTGGTGCGCGGCAGGATGCGAGGAGGAAGGAGGAGAAGCTGGGTCGAATGTTCGCGGGCGAGGGGGACATCATGGAGGAATATGAGCGGGACAAGGTTGAGCAAGACGCCTTACAGGTACAGTAGCGGCTACGGTTTAAGATAAGGTCGTGACGAGCCAAAATCCCTCTGTTCAATCGGCACTTCCGTTCCACCGTTTTGGCTACGGGTTAACATAGTATTATGTTATACCGTAGCCAAAACGGAAGGCCGTGAAACATACACCCAGTCGTCCCAACAACAGCAGTATGTGCCGTAAGAGTTGATAGAGAGCGTATCATTCATGTCACATAACGCAGGTAGCGTCCGCCCCTTGAGCTAGCTCCACACACCGCTTCATCTGTTGGTTTCCGAGCATTATGGACCAGTTGTACGCTCTTGGTAGAAAGTGTCAGGAACTAAATCGCGTGTTGGGAAACGAATCACGCGTCAGCCCTCTGTGGTGTTGTTGCCGTGTCGTAGATATGCTGCCACTCGCAGCTCTTGTGGGACTACAACACAAGCCCACGGATGCTCCAGCATCCAAGAGAAAAACCACCCAGTCACCCACCGGACGAACCACTCCTATACGAGCTCGATGTAACAGAAAAGTTCAGAAATTTGACAAGTATTCTGTTCAACCGATTTTGGCTGTGCCAAGCCAGTTCACTTCCGTTAAGCCCGGACTTGCTGTTAAACATCTTATGTTAAACCGTAGCCGCTACTGTATGTATTTGTGTGCAAGTGGCCCCTCCGGAGTAGGCTGTGTAGTGCGAGCACAGCAGTGTCATCAAGGTGTGACGCATGATGAAAATAATGGCAGGCGGCAGGACCAACTCGCAGCCAGCTGCGGTGTGACGAAGCTCGCATAGCTGACGTGTTTTTCCCTCGAACAGCCCAGCGCATCTCAACGAACCACAATATGATTACAAATCTGTGTAATGTCTTCTGCTGTCCCTTGGAACGATAAGTATGTAGGCGCTGAAGCTACGAATGTACAGCTTGTTGTCCATACGCTGTCGTCGTACAGCGGCTATTACATTTTGTTTAGGTGCCACACGGCGGTACAGGTACTACTCGCTACCCTGGGTTTGTTGCATCCAGAAGCCAAGGCCGTGGGCTCGCTCTTGACCCGCATTCTAGCGCCGTTGCGCTTAGCAAGGTTTGGACCAGAGTTTTCGTGGAGACTAGGCTTGCGCTGCCGTTCACGCACAACAAGTACCCCAACCAACATGCTCTTCTTTCGTTTTGGTTCGCCGTTCGACCGTCAACGCACACACTCGGTTCTTGTCCTCGACACGGGAGCAGCTGCTGCAAGACTCGATGAAAAAGAAGGAGCTAAAGCCCGTGGACCACAGCAAGATCAGCTACATCAACGTCCGCAAGAACCTGTACATCATCCCGAAGGTTCTAGCCATGGCCTCCGAGGAGAAGGTAAGGACCGTTGACGCCTTCCTTGCGTGGAAAACCGGCCACGGTCGTGCGCGTGTTTTTTCCGCATGTTGGGGGGGTTACTCGTGTTCTGCATGCCTTGGTTGTTAGGCCGTTGGCCACGAGAGGACAGAGCATGTTGGGGATGTGAGTGCGTGCTTACCACACTGTACCTTCGCAGATGCGTAACCCCCCCTCCGTTGATCATCGTTTTGATCGGGGCGTTGCTTGGGGGTTTGGACTGGATTTGATTTGTTGTCGAGATTGCTGTCACCCGAGACTCGTTCTCTTGCGTCTCTTAGAGAGGTTACCACACTGTACCTTCGCAGATGCGTAACCCCCCCTCAGTTGATCATCGTTTTGACCGGGGCGTTGCTTGGGGGTTTGGACTGGATTTGATTTGTTGTCGAGATTGCTGTCACCCGAGACTCGTTCTCTTGCGTCTCTTAGAGAGGTTACCACACTGTACCTTCGCAGATGCGTAACCCCCCCTCAGTTGATCATCGTTTTGACCGGGGCGTTGCTTGGGGGTTTGGACTGGATTTGATTTGTTGTCGAGATTGCTGTCACCCGAGACTCGTTCTCTTGCGTCTCTTAGAGAGGTTACCACACTGTACCTTCGCAGATGCGTAACCCCCCCTCAGTTGATCATCGTTTTGACCGGGGCGTTGCTTGGGGGTTTGGACTGGATTTGATTTGTTGTCGAGATTGCTGTCACCCGAGACTCGTTCTCTTGCGTCTCTTAAGAGAGGATCCTACACTACTGCTGCTGCTGCTGCTGCTGCTGTTGCGTTCGACCATTTGCCAGCAATGCCCGTGTGTCTTTGCTTTGCTCTTGTCCATGGAGCCCCACTTTTATCACCCATACTTTGCCACGTGCCATGCTATGCACCACGGCTTGACAACCCCCCGAAGTCGCTATTGAGTACTACCAAGTTTTTTCTTGGTTGAGTCACTCTGACACGGCTATTGGATGTATGTTTCTGTTGCACGATTCGCAGAATGTTAGCAAAAGGTGTAACATACACATAGATACACAAGATGGCTACCAAACTGTCTTGTTGAGCCTGTTACCCACCGGGGAGATATCGTTGTATGCTGTCTGGGAAACCGTAGACATACAGGTAGCCATTCGACACGCTATGGATTCAGTGCTAATCAATCTTAGACTTATTGCTATACATGGGGATGGATTTGTTGTGTGATATTAAGAAAAAAAAAATGTGTCTCATGCTTCTCGCTCGGTCATCCCACTGCTGCCTCTGCTGCTGTTTTAAACCGCCGCAGAAGGAAAACGACAGACTAGAGCTAGACATCAAGGTTAGAGGGAAGGGCTGTCCGCCGGTGTTGCACTCCTGGGAGCAGTGCGGCTTCAGCGACAGGGTGCTGGCGGTCATCCGACGGAATAACTTCGAGGTGAGGTGACCTTGATACCACCACAAACCAATAGTATAGTTGTATTTTATGTTTCTGCGCGTTTTTTTTTTTTGTGTGTGCACTGGCCAGAAGCGCCCAAAGGCCTGCTGCACGTTTCAGCGGTAAAAGTTAACTGCTAGTGGGTGGCACGTGAAATTCAACACCTCTTCTTCTCATATTGTCTGACTGCTGTCTCTCCCCTCCTTGTCAAGCACAGCGCGTCCCCTGTGCATAAGGTAAGAAAGATTTCTCACGCCGTCCACCACCTACTAACACCCACCACCCTTTTCCACTTTCTTCCCTGCGCCCCCCGCCCACGCCACCCCTAGAAACCGTTTGCGATCCAGAAGCAAGCGATGCCCGCGCTCATGTCCGGGCGCGACGTTATCGGCGTGGCGAGCACGGGGTCGGGGAAGACGCTGGCGTTCCTCCTTCCGTTGCTACGGCACATCTTCGACCAGCCGGTGCTCGGCGAGGGGGAGGGTCCCATCGGTCTCATCATGGCTCCTGCCCGAGAGCTAGCCGTACAGATCTACAACGAGGCCCGGAAGTTCACGAAGGCCTTGGGCCTGAGGGTGACCGCGGTGTACGGCGGCGCCGGGGTGGCGGATCAGATCGCTGATCTTAAGCGCGGCGCCGAGATCGTGGTGTGCACCCCTGGTAGGATGATCGACATCCTGACGATGCAGGCCGGGAAGCTGGTGTGTCTTGACAGGGTGTCGTTCGTGGTGCTGGACGAGGCGGACCGGATGTTTGACATGGGGTTCGAGCCGCAGATCAAGATGATCCTGCAGAACGTGAGGCCGGACAGGCAGACGGCGCTGTTCTCGGCGACATTCCCGAGAACGGTCGAGACTCTGGCGAAGAGGGTCCTGAAGATGCCGCTCGAGATCATCGTCGGCGGCAGGAGCATCGCCAGCTCCGACATCACCCAGCACGTGGAGATCAGGGACGACGACGACAAGTTCATGCGGCTGCTGCAGCTGCTAGGCGTGTGGTACGAGAAGGGAAACATCCTGGTGTTCGTTGACACGCAGTCCAAGTGCGACACCCTCTTCCAGGACCTTTCGCGGGCGGGGTACCACGGGCTGTCGCTCCACGGTGGGAAAGACCAGACGGACAGGGACTTCACCATCGCAGACTTCAAGAACAAGTCCGCAACGCTGATGGTGGCGACAAGCGTCGCCGGAAGGTGGGTGTGCTGGGGGGCGCTGTCTCTACGGGTTTGTGCCAAAGGCGTTTGTCTCGCGGTGACACGCGTCAGGATCGTCAGCAATTCATAGGCTGTTTCTCGACGAGGGCGTTTTGTTTCTCGGTAACGCAGCGTGGGCAGTTCATTGTCAGCAGTAGTGTACACGGGATGACGTGGAAAGAGTCGCGATGTGCGTGCTATTGAAGTGGGATCTGCACCGTAGAGGGGGTGGTACGGCGGCGCGTGTCCAAGGTTCGCTTGAAGATTGCGCCTTACTTTCTTTCAGAACCTCTGTTGCCTGTATTTGTAACCGGCAACACAAACACGAAGGGTCTCTTTTTTTGGAGCGGCTGCAGCACAGTTGCTTTTTCAGTCCGCGTGGGTTCTCTTGCTGGTCGTGCCGTCGCATACGCCCGATGCGGAACAAAGGGTTTCTAACCCCGTACCACTCGGGATCCTCCCCCTCCGCCGTTTAATCCCTTGCGCGGTCTCCAGGGGTCTCGACGTCCCTGATCTGGTGTGCGTCATCAACTACTCGTGCCCCAATCATTTGGAGGACTACGTCCACCGTGTCGGGAGAACTGGGAGAGCCGGGCGTAAGGGCACGGCGTACACGTTCATCAGCGCGGAGGAGGAGAAGCACGCCCCCACGCTCATCAAGGCCCTCACGCAGTCCAAGCAGAAGGTGTGTACGGCTAAAACCGATGGACACTTCTGCTGCTGCTGTTTTTGCTGCTGCTGCTGCTGCTGCTGCTGCTGCTGCTGCTGCTGCTGCTGCTGCTGCTGCTGCTGCTGCTGTGCCTAGCTGGTTGTGTGGGGTGCAAGTAGAGGAGCGTTCGGGGTATGAAGTATGAAGTGCCTGATGGGGGTTGAAGTAAAGAGCATGTAGTTGGGGGTACAAGAGTCCCTCGGTTTGTACGGGCCTGGATGTGGTTAGAACTATCTTGCTACAGAATGTCTGTCTTGTGTTGGTGTCGGCAGGCAGCAGGCTCCGTCCAGCGATCAACGTGGTAGATAGGGATTGGTCTGGTGTTACTCTGTTGGCTCCTTCCCGGCACGGCGGAACCCTGTGTGTTGTTGATTGTAAACGAAAGCTAACCTGCCGTCTCCAGCCAGGCATGAACTCGCACGTGTTGTGCCAGGTATAGGGATGTTGTTCTGAAGCTGCCCTCGGAGTTTTGCTGTTTATCTAATTTTCCTTCGTTTCTTCCATGCTGCTGCTGCTGCTGCTGCTGCTGCATGGGTTCAGATACCACCGGAGCTGGTGAAAATGGCCGAAGAATTCCAGGGCAAGGTGGACAGCGGGCAGGCTCGAAAAGCCAGCAGCGGTTTCTCCGGCAAGGGCTTCACCTTCGACGACTCAGAGCAGAGCGAATCGCAGCAGGTGATGCCAATGCTTGGTGTTTTGCCTTTACGCCCTTTCGACTTGGGTAACTTGAGGCTCACGCCGCCCTCGCCATGGTATACAGAGTGGTGTTGTTTCGATTATGCCGTGGGTTGGTGGTTGGAGTTAATTTTGGGGTTTAGGTCTAAAACCCTGACCCTGGGAACGCGAGGTTTTGTACCCTCAATCCCAGGCGTGTATGGCTGTTTTTGAGTAAACGTGCGGTAGGGCTCGTAGTAGCATAGTAGATTCGTGCGTGCAGTTGCACGTGGTACGGTGGACCAAGGGATCTCAAACCTCCGGCTTCAAGCACGACACCAAACTAACAGCAGTACTCTCGATCATCTACGTAATTTTTGTAGCAGCTTCGTCAAGTACCACAACTGCTTCTTTCCCACCCACCACGCTTAAGCCCCTTCGCCCTCCCTCCCTCTCCTCCCCGACACCGACGTTTGCCCTATAGCTGCTTAAAACCGCCCTCCCCTCATCACCGATGACACCCCCTCTTGGTTCTCTCCCCCGCCCCAATGTTCCACCGCTGATCCACCATGCTCACACGTGCATTTTTCACTGCTGTGTGCTGGTTCCTTCCCCTAGATGCGATCTCTCGAGAAGCGGCAGTACGAGATTGAGCAGGGGCTGCGAGACCCGTCCGAGCTCCTGGGCGGCAAGGAGAAGGGCGAGGAATGGGACGAGGGGGACGAGGAGGAGAGCGAGGCGTCCAAGGCGGCAAGAGCCGAGAACCTGACCAAGGCAGCCATCACGGCGGCGAGTAAGCTCCTCAAGTCCACCGACGAGGTGGAGAGGATGAAGGTGCGTGTTGTCTTCCGTACAGCTTAAATGTATCCTTTTTTTTTTCACCCTGTTTTTCGTGTAATCCGAAGCACAACTTTGGAATCGAGACAGAGCTTAAGACTTGGCCCTATGTCTTCACTACCGTTGCGTGCGGTATCTATGTTATTGCGTCATTGATTTATTTTCGCGTCTTGTTTCACGAAGCGCACGCAGAACCGGAAGGAGATCACCCTGTGCCCAACAACAATTCCACCCCCTGTGTTGTGCACAACGCGTGGTGTTCGACAGGTTTTTCATAGCCTGCGTAGTCGCCTTGGACGGGAACCGGACCTCGTCGTACAAAAAGCAAAATGCTCCCCATATCTGGTTTTAAAGAAGAGGTTCGATTCTGGCCTCCTGCAACGACGATGCGTAGCGAATACAACTAACCGCTGCGCACTGCTGTTTTACGTTGGTTGCACGTGTGCGCTACATACCACCAGGGGGCGGCGATGATGACTGCGGCAAAGCTAGGCCTGGCAGTGCCAAGACCAGAGCCGGGCGGGGAGGGCAAAGACGGCAAGCCCAAGACCCCTCAGGAGGCTCTGAAGGAGGCAGCGGCGATCGCTTTGAGATATTACAGCCCGGATGGAAAGGTCAGAAGGAGAAATGCGGGCAGAGTCAATGACGAGGAGGTGTCAAGAGCGCTACAGTAGAGGGACAAAAAGAAGAAAGCGGCGCACGTATCTGTTATTTTCTCTGGCCAAATATATAGGTAGCGGTACGGAAGTAGACCTGTTCATGCACTGCTGAAGAGGGGGGGGGGTAACCCTTAAAAACCCTAACCCTACCCTAATCCTCGGCCATTGCTGCTCTCTCCCGCCGTACAGGTATTGTTGAACATGCTTATTTTGATCCCAGCGCCTGTTCACTGTCGCCCTGATCTCTCAGCGCTTAAACTAAACCGTCCCCCGCCTCTCACGCCTGCGCCCTTCCGTCCTTCGTTCGCTCCGTGTTTGGTTTACCATGGTTTCCTGACTGCTGCTGTCTGCAGGGGCCCGACTCGGAGCCAACCCACTTCACGGACAAGATCGTGATCAACGACTTCCCTCAGCAGGCTCGGTGGAAGATTACGCAGAAGAGCACAGTCAACGAGGTCTACGAAATGACGGGCGTCGCCATCATTACCAAGGGTAAGCAAGGAGTGCGTCGCAACATCTCACCCACGAGCGTAAGGATGCGAGAGAACGCACAGTTGACATCGCATGTGCCAGTGATGTCGCACCCCCGTGCATTTTATCGCTTCTCGCACAGCATCGTGCAGGCTCCGACATACGCACGTGCCTGTCTTGTTTGTCCACCGCGGTCTGTTGGACTGCCTATATTCTCCGGGGCGGGATGCGCTCTTTCACGCAACTCTTTGGCCCGTTCATTTAAGCGACGGCATATGTAGTACGTTCCTGACCTGCTTTCCATTTGCGTCGTCGTTATTTTTGTGTTGACTGCCACTGGATTCGGTTTAACAGGCATGTACATCGGCAACAACCAAAAGCCCAAGGAAGGGGAGGAGAAGCTGCACCTGGTTGTCGAGGGCAAGAGCGAGATAGACGTACAGGCCGGCATCAGCGAGATTCGAAGGTACAGCGCCCACGCCTTCGGCTTACCCTTGCCTCTTTTGCTCATGGCCGTCCTTGTGTGTTTTTGATTCGTTTTCCTTGTGTTATGCCGTTGTGCCTGTTGCCTGCCGCGTCGTGCTGCTTTACTGACTATTTCTGCCACGCGGAATAGAATCGAATGCAGCCGCCTGTAGCCTTACATCCACCCTTTTGGGCGGCGAGCCGCGAGGTGGCAGTTGCCTCGAAATAACGCGGGTCAGCGGTAGGTCCTGTGATGTTGTATCTAGAAATGAAATTCGCTGGTAGCTGGCATGGCTCGATTCCAACGTGAGAGCACATCGGGCGTTTTCAGCGCAAGAGCTGGCTTTGACGACCCCCCCCCCGCCCGCACTCCCGAATATCGCAGGATTTTGAACGAAGAGACGATGAAGGTGGCGTCTTCCTCATCGTTCTCATCTGGAAAATACTCGGTCATCTAGGCAGCGGCGGCGAACCGGTGCTCTTCTGCGGTTGCCGTGGTCCCAGTCTCCACGCTCGAGACGGCGTGTGAATACGCGTGTGTTGAACTGCGAGGGCACGATTTTTCTCGCGCGTATGTAGGCGTCTCAGTCAGTGCTACATAGGGAACATAGCGAAGGGGGGAAGACACGCTGGTTGTCGCGCCTGCTGCTACTGCTGTGCTACTGGTGTCGTGGTCGTTTGCGATACTTGAGGTTGTATTCTTGTGCGGTGTGTGGTTTGTTATTTGTACCGTAGAAGGTGTGTGTGGTTCAATCTGTGGGCGTTTCATGTTGGTAAAATCATTCAAATTTAGTTACTCGAATCAAGGTTTTGCAGTACGGCCGTGGTGTGGGCATCAGCTTGGGTGGGCACGTCGGGCAGCTAGTACCTAGCCCTGTGGCTCCTGCGCTGTGCTGTTGAACTCGAAGGCAAGCATGGCTGTATGTGCGCTTGCTCGGATGCTTGTTGTGTGCTCTGATACTGACACGTAGGCAGTGGATGCATTCTCGACGAGCGCGTGGAACGGAAGGCCGGCCCTCAAAGCTCATCTTGACGAGATGATCGAACTGTGGCCAATGCCTCATGCCAAATCTCGCCGATTTCGCAAAACAGCCCGCAGGACTGAAAGCAGTGATCTGAGCGACCGAGAGGCCGGAGCGAAGACAGAGAACGGCACTCCATCGCTTCTGCTCCGCGCCACGCAAACGGTATGCAACGATTCAGCAGAGGGTTTGCTGTTTAGTGCCACGCCGTCTGGTGAAATAGTGTTCTGGGATGCTGATCCGAGCAATCAGGGCGGGCTGATGTGTTCGGATTGCTTCTATTCCCCTTGTTTTGGGCTATGATATTTCTGTTTTTATTGTAGCTGTACTCCGCGTCGCACAAAGTCATCGTGTTACTTTTGCTGTCTTTGTCGAGCTCGACGAGAGGGTGCGTCCACAACCTCCGCCACTACGAAACTTCCCGCAGGAGTCGTCTCTCTTGCTTGCGTGAGGAGGAAGTGGTGCCGACTGGTGATGGTGCATGGGCCGGCAGGCAGGCACCCAGCAACTGCAGTGACGATGCAGTTTACGGTGAAGTCGTCGCTCGCTCGATGTTTATTCTCGTGCAATCCGCGCACCCACGTTACGTTCGTCAGCCGCGTACATTGCCCCTGTCTTGTGTGTGACTGCGTGTGACGTTTCGGCGATGCATGCGTGTGTGCGGGGGTCCCCGTTATGTCGCGCGAAACGGGTTCAGAGAGAGAAAGATAGACCAAGACAAGACGTCGCGACCGTACCGCGTTGTCAGGTTTGTGTGCTGGCAGCGCTACCGTTCTTGTGTCGTCTTGCCGTGTGTGCTCTTCCCCTGGCCCCCCTTTCGTGTCTCGATCGCTTGCTGGCAGTTGTGCCAACGCACGGAGCCACCCTGAGAGGCACGAGAAACACTCGGCATCGAGGGGCCCGACCAAAGCGGTATGGACTTGGCACACGGTGTATTGGTTGATTCCCTTGTGCGTGATTGGCTATCTGTGTATCGGAATCGGGGCTAGAACGCGGGTGCTTGCTGAAAACAGGGCAAGCATGGCTTCCTACGGCAGTCGAATCGTTGCGCTCAAACCAGAGCTCTCTCGCTAGCTTTGTCCCGCGCGTGCTGCCCGTAGACGTGTCATCGGTGTCGACGAGTCTGGGCATGGACGGCTCTTGCCAAGGGCCTTCCTTGCCGTCTACTACACCGCCAAGAACTGGAGCTTGCAAAGCCACAACAGGCAGCTTTGCTTTGGGATGGATACGTTGTAGCGAGCTCACCGCGAGGCAGCACCCACCACATCGCATACAACTCGCGAGCATCCTGGAACCGCGGGGGCTCCGCCCATCACTGCGGGCATTCACGCGCGAAGAAAGTTCATCTGGCCGTCCAACCAGACCAGGCCATCACCCCGATGCCATGGGATATGCGTGGCTGTGACTCGAAAATGCGGAGTTCAAAACTCCTTCTCCTGCACCGACTGACGGCTGGAAAAACTCCTGGGGAATTCCCCTGAGTTCGTCAACCACCCGAAAAAGTCCCTGGTACGCCTCGACTCACTCTTCTTTTATTATACTGTGGTCACGCTCAACTCTGTTTTTGTGTAACCCACCGCGAACCAATTCCACCTCGTCACCATGGGCACCTCGAAAATGGTCGCGTGCGTGACACATGAAAACGCAACACTCATCGGTTCAGCTGCCTGCCGTCCAATAAGGCACGCGCCACGCCCATCACGAATTCAACCACAGCATCGCCATGGACACCATTTGTCCCTTCAGTTCATGACGACGACAGCATCGGGCCATCCCCGTGACAATGTGTCCACACGCGCATGTTTGCTTATCGCTTAAAGCAGCAGCCCACGATCTCGCTGCGGGGGGGTTGATTCCGCCCCCTTCGGACGCTTAAATGCTATTCGTCGTTGGTGTGACGTTCTTGTGCTCCTTGCTGACTCTATTTGGAACACATCACCAATCATCTGATCCATTCGCGAAGATAGATATGTAAGCATGAAACGCTGTAGGATGCTTATGCACCAAGAGTTTACGACAAGCAGTTTTTCAGGGTGAGGAGCCCTCTGGTGTGACAACGGATTGATAGCTCATATGCATACCCCGAACAAATACTGTGAGCGTTGATCCACACTGACGAATCAAGAAAAAAATAGCAGGCTAGATTGGTTGTGAGTTTTCACCTATAGTCTGTGCTCGCTATCATAGTTCAGTTTGAGTGGATAGACTAGGCACTGCGTGTTCGTCTTTCTTTGCGTCCCACGGTCGTTACTCACCGTCCCGCATCATGCCAACGACCCAAAAGAAATCGAGAATCTCCTAGAGGACCAGCACGATTACCTCTCAGGCAAGCTGTGTTGCCGATCGCTTCAAAATCAGCCCATGACCTTGCTACTGGTCACCATCGGGGTGTTGATGAGTTGACAGTTTCTCCTGCGACTGCTCAGGGATCGGGGTGCACCGACCGGAGGGAGATATCTGCGTAGCGGGAACGATGATGAGGTCTTGGGATCGGTAGTAATCCAACACCGGCATGTCCGACTGCTCGTGCTCCACCGGTACCAGTGTCGGAGGTTCGTTGATGCCCTGGACAGTTCAGAAAACACGGTGGCAGTATGGATTTTGGTCCGACTTCTACTTCCGCATCGCACACATCTTCACGTACAACCTCCGCACGCTGTACAGTTGTCCCCGCTTGAGACATCATTTTTAACGACACTCCCCGCTTTAAGGACACAAAAAAGTATCAGAAACATGGTGCCCGCAGATGTGAAAAAGTAGGGGGGTAGGGTTTTCCACCATTCGACCCCCCCCCAGAAAATGTGCTGCAGCACCTCCAGATCCTGGATCATCAACAGCGGTCTGCTGCAGCCGCACGCTGCGTGTGGGTGTTGTATGGAAAAATTCATTCCATTTGCTAGCGGTTCGTCTGCTGCCGGCTTCAAGCCATGCGGCGAACCGACGTGCCAGTTCAAATGTGCACTGGTGTCACTAGTTCATCAGTGTCCGTGCGGGCGACCCATGCACGCGTTTTGTGGTCGGGGCATCGGAGAGGAAGGCCACGGACAGCAGAGAGAGTGCTCGTTTTGACCTTTTGGGAGGCGCGGTGTCCTCTTTGTCGCTGTGCTTTCCCGACATTTTTGTTCTCTGTGATTCTGCGTAGCCTACATTTTTCTAGTGTCGTTTTGCAACCTTCGATATTTCTCAGGTGCGGTAGCGAGATCTTGAGCAAAATAATCGCGGAGAGGACAACGCCTAAAAAATAAGATAGAGCAATTAATTAAGCCCATATCAACACCAGCGCACTACCGTCGTGTACATGTACGATGCGTAGGTCGTAAAACACCATCGCTTTCAGCGTTTTGGTGGTACAGTACGGGGAAATTCAAACGATGGTATGCAAGTTTGTATTGCAGCACAATAGCAGCAGTGGTTGCGACCTTCAAATCACCTTGTGTCGTAGGTTTCAAACACCACCTCTTGTGGTCGCCTTTCTGCTGGGAATACGCACCTTTTTTTGACATGTGTTTCGCCTTAATTGGCCCCGGGGATGGTGCGTTAGTGGCCCCGGAATTTCAAAGAAACTCCCCGCGTCAAAGACACTTTTTTGTTCGGGAAAACGTGGTGTGTCGACTGTAGTAGTATTTGGTTGGCATGCATGTGGTGGCCAACTCCAACAAGGTCTTCGATTTCTGTTCACTACACTCTCCACAGTGCAGCAACCACATCGTTGCACATATTTTTTTCGGAGGGGGTCGAGTCTTAGACTGACTGTAGGCCTGTTTTGACGCTACTGCTGGCAGGGATTTTGCGCCCACGCGTTGTTGGTTGATTTTGTGGGTGAATCTTCATGTCTGTGCTCTCGACGTCAGATTAAGAGTACTTTAGGCAATGGTTGTCGGTCTTGCATACCACTTTCTTCACGACCAAACCGTCCTCGTCACGCAACGTCCTACACCATGACGACGACGCCAAAGACAAGGGGAACCTCTTCGAGGAGTCGCGCGGTTGCCTGAGGCAAGCTGCGTTTCTAATTTTACGTCGTTGCTGCTGCTGTTGGACAAAGTTGCGTAGCTCAAGTTGTTTCAGCGGGCCGATCGAAAGCTCCAACTTGAACGCGGTGTGTTTGAAGAAAGAGTCTATATCTTGGTGGAAACTGTTCGGGAGGGGAGCCGGTGCGCGTGGGGATAGCTTAGGCTAATTTTCGTCTGTCCGTGAAACGTTTAGTCGATAGCCCTCCTCTTGTTTGACCGATTGGGTCTCAAAAGCCGGTTTCAGCCCACACCGCGAACCTCGGAGAACTACCAGCAGTTCTGTGCAGCTGAGATAGTTTCAAGACCTCTTATTTTGTTTGAGCAGCATTGGGTTGCTCGTGACATGCTCCATATAGATAGATAGTCTAGACGTTCAGTCCGGATCCTGAGACACCCTGACGCATGTATGTACCACTCGTTGGGTCTTTCTGATTGGCTGTTGATGTAAAACTCTAATACTTCGTTTGTGTGTACAGTGCGTTCATCACTTCGCACCTTGAAGTCATCATGCGGAAGGCAACCCCGCCGATGGTCCCCATGTGCCCATAACAACCATTTCTCTCTTATCTCTTGTGTGGTTGGTACGCATGCATGTTTGACTGTGAAGGGGCAGTGAACCAGGTTATGGGGTGAGCGAGAGTAAACCAACATCACTACTGTGTGCAAGCCAAAAGCACGATGCGACCAATATCCACCCACCTCCTTGAAAACCGCAAATCTGTACTTGTAGCGCAGGTCTTTCCCGTAGTTGTGCGGATTGGAAGAGTTGATCATCGTGAACAGGAGTTCTTGGAAAAGCGGAGTTCTTCGCATCATTCCACGGTCTTCAGTCAACTGCAGCGACCACAGAAGCGGAGTGATGCATCGATGAGCTCGATCTTGTTGTACAGCTTTAGCGTACCGCGTGTGTGTATGTAATATATGTGGTGTAGCATGCTGGCATGCATGTACACCTTGGACCGGGGCAGTAACGGTAACTCAGGAACACATGGGTCGCATGCACCTAGCACACAACGGCAACATAACGAACGAAACACTGCGGCGAACGACGATTGGCTGCGAGAAAGCATCGATGATAATAGTGATTGACTGTGCTTGACGCCAGATTGATAGAGACGCGGCAGGATGCATGGCATGACATTTACGATGAAACACGTCGCGAGGCGGTACACGTTTGTTCAACACATGACGAAATACGCACAGGGGATGACTCATGAGTACCATTCACGATGAAGCCCCGTGAAACGTCATCAACGAAAAATAGCGCCTTCACTATCAGGACACGTGCTTGTATGTGCTTGAGAAAGACTGCCTCCGTAGTGACAGAACACGGAATTAAATGTTGACAAATTCTGGAAACAAACGCAAGAGCACCAGAAATGACACAAGAGCGAAATCGTGCTTCTCGCACAGGGAAGCAGTCGAGACTTCTCGAAACATGCATTTCACGCGTCTACCTCCACATGCCTCCTTTGAAATCAAGATAAAAATTCACACTATGCTAAATTCAAGTCAAAAGAGCCAAAACGGCAGGCGTTCAAATAAGCTCTGTTACCAGGAACCTGGTGCAAATACTTATTATATCACCTAGAGGACATCCTATATAGCAGCGGGGGTGCGTGTTGGCGCGCTCAAATCTGCGTCGGTGGTGGCGATATCGGGCGTCGTTGTAGTAGCGGGCTACAATCTCCGCAATGCTCCGCAAAATAGACCGACACCCAGTGTCTTCTACTGCTTGTGCTCGCCCCCACTTACCCAATCTCCTCAACTGCGGGTTCACAGCAGTAGTAGCTAATGCGCGACTAGCTACTGCTGACAACCGTCGTTCAGGGGATTTCGGTCCGTGGCGGTGAGCACGGCTGTGACAAATGTTGGATGCCGCATGGTTCCGGCGCAGATTTCGGATTGTTTTCAAAAGCTGCCGCGACCTTCGATACTTCAGCTCCAGTAGCAAACCCGCACGTGCCAGCACGCACGACGCCTCTTGATGGTGTCCTCTAGTGATATTAATACTAGTTACAAGGTTTCTCAGGCGGAAAGGTTATTTTTGTGCTTACTGTTGGATTAAAGTATGAAAAAAAGAGCCGGCGTCAAACCTATTCTGCCCCCCCTTAACAGGGTCAGTATGAAGTCGTACCTGTGGTTCTTACGTACGTACCTCGATCAGTCTTCGAACTCTCCTGAACGTCGTTGCTTCATCTATCTTCAATTGTTCTAGCCTCTCCGTTGTCCCTCCGGGCATGCTGTTGATCAGGAAGGCGTGGTCTTGCTCCACACTCTTTCTAACGAGCATGATCAACAATCAATCAATGTGCGCGCAATGGTACGTACGTAACGAACGGTGGATAACAGAGAGTTGCGGAGCCGCCCCAAAGAAATCCCTCCAGATGGAGAGTGTTACTTCTGTGCTCTAGGCATCACGGAAGAATTCATGGAAAGGCTACACATTGAGTACTGCATTGTTGCATACTCTGGAGCAATTCTTATGCCATCGAAGCATCGTCACGTCTGCGGGATTCGCTTCTTTTTCCGGGTAACAGAACGCTCCCCCTGATCATCAGCACTGCACACTCTAGCTCGGCTCCGATGGGAATGGGCCCCTTCGCATTACTGCTGTGCTGTACTGCTGTAGTGCATATTTATACTGCTGTGTTGTACTGCTGTAGTGCCTGAGGTTCTTCATGATCTCACGTCACATACATGCCATTTCGTCAACCCGCAAACAAACGCTTTTCACACACTTTCGTACCTATGAGTGAAGATTCGAACATGCAACACCACCATCTTCAGGCGGCCCTGTTGTCCTCACCCTCGGGAGTTTGATGGGTTTGCGTTTACGTGAAACGTGCAGCAGTGAACGCGCGTGTTTGATGTGTGGATCGTGGATCGGTGGATATACGGGGGAAAGCGGCGGAATTCTAGACATTCCGAAACGTGAAGTATGGCGCCGCACATTTTTTTGAAGATAAATCCCATGCACCACTGCTGTACACCGTCCGGAACACAAGATGACTACAGGTATCGAACAATTGTCTAGTGAAGCCTGTTGCCCACGTATCACTATACGTATATCTAGCTTATGTTGCTCGAAGACCAGTAGGAACACAGCAGATCGGTGCCATGTACCTTCTTTTCACGCAAGATACTATAATCTATCCCCTGCACCGATTTCAAAGCGTGATTTTTGTACACCACGACGATGATTTTTTTTTTTTTCTTGTCAAATCAGCGTTCACGGCACTAGTGCCGTTTACTCCAACCCGTGGTCACACAGAAGAGCCCCTAGCTACCCTCCCCTCCTGCGGTACTTTGCCTTCGATTTTTAATGCGAGAAGAGTTCAGCACTCTCTTCCCTCTGTGTACACACGAACTAGCGCTATCCACTAAATTAGGCCAGGAGCGGAAGCGAGAGAAAAACTCACTTTGCAAGGAAAGCTCGCCGGGATTCGAACCCCTGACCTGACCTCTAAGAGGTTTCGAGGTTAACAACTAGACCACCGGTGCGACCGGCCAGGATGCACATGCATGAATGAAACGATACGTTCTCGGAAAGCTCTCGGTGAGATGGTTGCAACGGCCACATTCGGCGCTGCCACTCTTTCTGCTACTGTGGAGAAATCGATCGAGCTCTGAAAGTCGGTCGAGGGGGTGTAATTCTGGGTTTCCCCGCACCAGTGGAAAAGTTCAGTTCGGTGGTTTTTTCCAGTTCGGCCTAAATAAAATCCATTTCGGCAATCGAGCCGCTGCGAACTGGAATATTTTCCAAGACTTTTGGCGCCCTCGGAAAACACAAGTGCATTTTTTTCCAGCTGGGTTGATCGAAGCGGAACATAGCGACATCGCCTGTATCCTACACGGACTGCGCACAACACAGAGTGGTGGGTGAGCGGGGGCTCCTGTGTGTCGGTGGCTGCGGACCTGTTGCGCGTGGGGTTCGAACGCGAAACATTTTCTGTTGCCCTGTGAGAGCCCGGGGTGAAAACAATCCCCCGGGTTATTTGAATCTCGATTTTCGCGCGTTGTAGAGGAAGAGTCCCTTGGCCGGATTACGGAGTACTTCGCGCGCGGAGAGCGCGTGGCTCTGCGGCGCACGCGTCTCGTGCTTGCCGGGCGCCGCCTGCTGCGGATTTGGACGCCGCGCCTGCGTGTTGCGCCCTGGAGGGTGTTGGGGTCCGCATGAGCAACAGCAGCGAATCCGAAGCGGAAGGAGGCAGCAGCAGCAGCAGTAGTGTTGTTGACCTCACCAACTTGTCCACGGACAAGTCAACGCTCTTGTCCGGGTTGGACGGCGCCGACGACGAAGGAGGGAGGGAAGAGTCGGGGTCGGACATAATGAGTAGCACTTCTGACTTCTCCCTAGCCCCTGGGATTATCCCTCGGACGCCGCCGGCGAGGCGCCGTCAATCGCGCCGTTCTTCGCCGAGGTTCGCTGACCGCCGTGGAACAGGCGCTGAGGAGTCGAGCTCAGGAGGAAGAGCGTCGTCTGCCGGATCCACCCCTTCGCCGACGGGAGGAGGGTCTTCGTCCGAACGCCCCAGGTCGTCGTCGCGCACCCCGAAGCGCCCCAGGTACCCTGAGGCGGAGGGGTACTCCAAAAAATACGTGGAGTCGGTAGCAGGCCGACGGGATGGCTTGGCGTCCGGCGCATCACACGGGGGCGGATCGAAGGGTTCTCCTCTCGAGCTGAGCTCCCAAGACAGCGGCGCATCTGGTGAGGTGGATACGGAGCCCTCAGACAGCGGCGGTGGTGGAAGGGGCGGTGAAAAAGGTGGGAAGAAAGGGCGGCCGGGAGAGCAGCGGGAGGCGACTGGCTCTGGCAGAGGTGTGTCTCTTGGGCAAAAATTGTTCTCCGTCTGCTTAGTCATGTAGTGACAGCGGTCCGCATTCTGTGCTTATCTGTCTTCGTTACAGCAGTACCATTTCCACACTCGAGGCGAGCCTCACCCCACACTCTATTGTAGCAAGCCACGACCTGCCTTGTTTGTCCTTCGCTTATTGTCCTATTACTATTCTGATCGACAACCCTCTCCTGGACGCCTTCCATCGAACCCATGCTGCACGCCTTGGGTGTAACGTTTAGCATGGATGCGCACTGTTGGCTGGGGACTTTGTGATGTCCGCCGTTTTCGTATGAGGATTTTTGATCACATGCATATACTAAGGCGGTGAGGTCCTTACCATTTCGGAATTACGACCATTACGACCCGTGGACCTGCGCGCCGATGCGTTTGTTTGAGGCTGAACTTATGCACTCGGTGCTTCAGGCAAGACCCAATCTTCCTCGTTGTATCCCCTGAAGCCGTGCCATCAACACGTACACACGAAGTAGTGGCGGATGCGCGCACAACACGCCTCTCAAAAGACAGGCCTGCTGTCGATGCATCACATATGTATATAATACATGTATATATTCACGCGCACGCGGATGGACTTTGTGAACAGCACTGGTCAACATCGTTGCTGTAGTTGTTCACTTCACATTGGAATAGAGCTCTCCTGCGACTTGGCGGCGGACCTCGCCTTTGTTCGACAATACTTCCACACAGCAGCGCGCGCTGCCTGCTGTGCCTTACACATTTGGCAATTGCATCTTGCAAGATGTCGATGGAAATGACCACCTTGAGTAGTTAGCATCTAACCGGTATGGGTTCGCTGAGTTAGCGGTCCCGGTGACGAGCTCAGTGTCGGTGAATTCCTTGTTCGGCGCCGATGCCGACATGTTGTTCTAGCCACGGTCAGTCTCTGCCATGTGCATCACGTTCCCTCCCTCCTCTCTTGGTTCGTCGGTTCGCCGTTTGTCCTACCTCTAACCCCTGATCAGAGAAAAGCCCCCGTTGGTGGACACAGCCCGGCGAGAAGGAATACTTCTACCGCCTCATCCCCAAACATTGCGCGAGCAAGCACACGTCCACCGACGACAAGAACCGGGAGTGGTGGTCCGTTGCAGAGGGTCTCATGGAAGCGACATCCATCACCATCGTGGTGAGATTGAAGACTCGGGAGGACAAGAGCAGCAAGTTGGTCAGGAAGGCGGTGAAGCTGAACATGAGGCCTAAGATGGAGGTAAGCGCGTGTTGCACGCTTGTTCTTGTCTTGCGATATGTGTCGCTGACGCGCGGCCATGTGGCGACGTGGCGGAAATCCTGCGGGACAGAAAGTTGCGTGTTGTGTTCATACATATCCACCGCATGTATGGGCGCGTGCGTGTAAGTTGTAGAAATGCGAAGACACCCTCCGCGACATGGACGCCAAAGTAGAGCCCCTCGAATAAAGTCGACTTTTGTCGTTGCTGAGTCGCGCAGACACCCGTATACCCGCGACGTCATTGTGGGGTTGGTGTTGCTTAGACTACTACATGGCATGGCTGCACGTGGATACGTACGAAGTCGCCGAAGTGCACACGTCCACGTATCCTCTCCAGTTAACCCGACCTGTTGCTCCTGTGGGACATTTTTGGAAAGCGCAGACATGAGGAAAGGAACGTAAAATATGTGTACCTCATCCTGCATTATCGCGACCACTCCCTCTACAACCCCAGGGAATGTCACAGGACGACGTCCAGGGCAAGCTGAAGACGATCTGGCTTGCTGACCGGAGCAGGTGGGACAAGAAGCACCAGGACAAGAAGAAGCTCACCGGCGAGGGCAGCGACGGCGAGGATGAGAGCAGCGAGGTGATGTTGTGTTGCGCGAAACCAGGCGTCTGTAGGGGGGGTGGGGGCGGGGCATGTTGTATGACACGGGCGTGGTTGCAGGAAAGCGTTGGCACGTTCCCACCCCTGGGATATCGCGTCCGCTTGCGGATTTTTGTCGCGTGTTCGTCGTTCGGGGGTGGTAATGTCTCACCCCCCTGCACTAACAACACGGTTGCTTGCCTCTTGTACAGATCTGCGACATGAGGGTATTGGTCGGATAATGTAGCTCACAGGGGTTAAACCAACATTTACCGTACCCTCAATTGCGCATGTCAATGTATTCTTTCTGGTTTCGCCCATCGACCCAATACCACTGCATGTCAATTACATATTCGTTCCAAGAAGCAAAAAAATGCTGGCATGTGCGTGTGTTCGGGTGAGGGTTAATACTTGTAGACAACGAAGCAAGACCTGGGAGCGGCATTTAGTTGTCATCGGCTGTTGCTGCTCTTGCTGCCACCCAGTAGACAAGGGGGACAGCCTTCCTTCCTTGTGGAACTACGGTGCAGGAGAGATGATCGTGTGTGATGTGCTAGGGGATGCTGACGCTAACTATGTCCAATATATTACCCAGATAGGCAAGATTCGCTCGGCAGTGTAGTTTTTCCTCTTGTGAGGACGATCGACAATCGCAGAGAGCCTACTACGTGTGTTCTTTTTTAAATTGACACCAATGTTGATGGCAAACCAATTTGCAAACAAGAAAAAAGGGGGGGGGGTGTGGTCTATTCAACAAAGTTTTCCTGATGTATGCTCCTTTTAGGAAGGAATCTTGCCCATATATCTTGCCAACATTTGTTTTGCCGCCGAAAATGTGCTCGGCGCCGACATTTTAGGCCAAGAAAAACACGAACGACGCCGCTCAAAAAAACGCGTGAGCGGTCGTCGCACCCCAGCGAAATATACGTATTCACCCACAACGACCTGAGTTGTCAACGTATCGCTCCCGTTTACAGCTCCGAGCAACCCTTGGGTGATGGTGCTGGTGGATTGCTCGCTAGTTAGCGATGATCGTTCGAGAGGCGAGCGCAAAAAACATTTCCACCAAAGCAGAATACCAACAGATCAAAGGCGTCCCGCCGCAGCAAAAAAGACCGCCCGGCGACAGAGACTCGAGGACACCGCTTAGGATTTGTCATTCGCTAGGGCACCAAACGGCATTTTAACTGGCAGGGTGTCACCTATGTTCCCCATCCTCCGTCGGTGGAGCGTGGCTTAGCGTATCGTTCACTCAATCAGAAGAGGGAGGCGTGTGCGTGTACAAAAGCTGTTTGTTAGAATCGGTTTTCAGGCGTCCAACAAGCAAGTGTATTTTCAAGTCGACGCGTATTTTTTTAGGCCACATTAC